AAATATTCCCAGCTCTATTACATGAGCACTTATTCTATTAGCCAGTGAACTTAGTCTGAAGAGGAGCTTCAGTGGATTGAGCTGCTTTTTCTCTTCATTCAGCAGAGTATTTCTCAATTTTGGGTGCTGGTAAACCCATGCTGGGGGTCGGGGAGAGGTAGGGAATGGCAGAGAAAGGAGGCTGGCCGTGAATGGGCAGCCGTTGGAGCTGGTATGGGCATTTAGGGCCTCATTCTACTAGAGCCTCTACTTTTGTCTGTGTTTAAGCATTTTCCAAACAAAAAGCTAAATCTAAACATAAAAGCCCATTGACCAATGGGGAGACTGGGTGGGGTGTTTGTGTGCAGGAGTGGGGGTCTCAGGGGAAGGGAGGGCCCCAAGCCGCAGCACGAGGCCTGCGCGTCCATCCACAGACTCACCTTGGGAAACTGCAGCAGCGCAGAGTGGGAGGCAGCAGGAGGAAAAGGAGAGAGAAGAGAAAACACAGGCTGAAAACAGAGCCACAGAGAGCGCTTGGAACATGAAGCAAAGCGGATCGATGGTGAGGCCTGGGGGATGGGAGAGGGGCCATGCCAGCGGCTTCTCAGATGCCAGTCCCCAGGCAGGGGGTGCTCAGTGCTCATGGTGACAGCCACTGTGGCCAGTGGTCTGCCCACCCAGTGTGTGGGCGTGGCTGGGGACACAGCGAGGGGGTCTCACTCTGCCAGGGAGTTCTGTCCACTGCCTCCCCCGGCCTTTTTATATCCTGGCCATGCCCACACTGCTGCCCGTCATTCTTTATTCTTGTCTTCTTTTGAGGCAGAATCTCACTCTGTTGCCTGGGTTGGAGTACAGTGGTGTGATCATGTCTCGCTGCAGCCTCAAACTCCCGGCCTCAAGTGATCCTCCTGCCTCAGCCTCCCAACATGCTGAGATACAGGTATGAGCCACAGCACCCAGATCCCCCTCTTTTTTTCGTCCTCACCTCAGGCCTTCCTCAAGATAAATTCCAAATGAACCTGAGGAGCGACAGCTCCTGGACAGCTAGAGCTTTGACTGCAGCAATCTAAAGACGCTGATGTGCCCCATCCCGGCCCCAGCCTGGCTCTATCTGAGCTATGTGCTCAGCTGTTTCTATGGGGAGGAGACACATATATAAAAATTATTTGGGGAAGACCCCAGCCAGAGGGAGGCAAACAGATTTTATCTTGCAGACCTCTTGGATCAATCAGTAGCGACTGCCTGAAGCCGTGTGCTGAGAACATGCGAGACTGTTCAGCAGAAAGTATCATGGTTGATTAGCAATGTCTGCCATGGGGGATGGTGGCAGAAAGAGCCCACCACAGAGCTACCAAGTATTTACTGACCCATGACCAAGACAGGCTGTTGTTGGTTGTTATTTGTCGTTATTCATAGAAATCAGGCAACATGCTTGCAATCTCCTGATGGTAACTCCCACTTTCATCCAGATTTCTCTGACTCCCCTCTTAGGAGTTTTCCATGATGGTGTGTTTGCTGATGACACCACAGGCAATGTCATGTGAAAAACTAAAGTGTATTGTTACAACGGGAAAGTTTCCTCCGTTTTTACGGCGAAAGGCTGGAGTGACACCAGAAAGAACAGTCCCTTATCCAGCTGTCTTCTAAAGGAGTCACTCTGGGACACACACGTTCCGTGGTTGCTGGGAGTAACCTCACTGCAGCACCATCTCATGAGTGGCAACTATTCATCCTTTGGGGGTGGGTTTAGCGGTGGGAAAAAAATGCAAAGGCATCCATTGCTGAGACGGGCGAATGAGGCTGGCAGTCAGGCCGTGGTAAGAGTGACGTGTGGCTGGTTTTTGTATGCAGCCCTCAGGTCTATCGCCCTATATGGTTTGGTTGTATCCCCACCCAAACCTCATCTTGAACTGAAACTCCACAATTCCCCTGTATCATGGGAGGAACCTGGTGGGAGATAATTGAATTATGGGAATGGATCTTTCCTGCACCGTTCTCATGATAGTGGATGAGTCTCATGAGATCTGATGGTTTTAAAAATGGGAGTTTCCCTGCACAAACTCTCTCTCTTTGCCTGCTGCCACGTACAGAAGCCGTGACTTGCTCCTCCTTGCCTTCCACCATGATGGTGAGGCCTCCCCAGCCTGGTGGAACTGTAAGTGCATTAAACCTCTTTTTTCCCCAAGTCTTGGGTATGTCTTTATTAGCAGTGTGAAAACACACCCCCTAAAAGCATCCTCAAAAGTTTGATGCAAAGATAGCATCCCTGGAAACAGCGTGCAGACCTCCAAGGGGCGGGGGCTGACGCTGACGCCCAGTGAAGGCTGCGTGGTGAAGGTGGGGGCTGCAGCTTCTTGCACTGGCTTATCCTGCAGCCAAGTTACCACCCCACACCAGCCGCAGCAGAGGAGTTTCTGGCCAAGTCAACGGCCTGGGGCAACGGAAAGTGAGGAAGTGACTGGATCCCATCTGCACTTCCGGAGCCTCAATGCTGCACCTAGGGCATGATGAAGGGAGCTCTTTAAGTCATCTCTAAGGTTCCTACCTCTTGGCTCCTAGGTATTAAGGAGATCAAAGACAAGTGTACCAGAAAGCTCTAGAGATCAGATGAGGCATCAACACACATTACCGAGACCTACCCTGTGACACAGTCATGTCCCGCTTTAATGCAGAGGCTCCTTACTCAGGTCCCCAGTGCCTGGCCAAATGCTTGGTTTGAGAGAAGATGAGCCAGTAAGTGGGGCTCATCTGGCACAAACTGGGCAGTCTTCAACCTTCCCAGGGCAGAAGGACCTCCCAGTCTCCAGCTGGGAGCAGGGTCAGGAGCGTGCATCCCACAGGCCCTGGGGAAGCAGCAAATCTCCTCTGTGGGATTGTCGGACTACTTTTTAGGAGTCACCCAAGAGCTGGCAGCACCTCTATCCTTCACGCCCTTCACCTCTCCACACAAATGAAAGTGGCCTCAGGGGGCGAGATCCCTTGAAGGAGACCCAAGGGCCTGCCTGCTGGGCTTACTTCACAATATTCCTCTGATGGGGCAGCCTCTGCCCTGAGCACACCCCTCCCAGGAGGAAGGAGCAGCTTCCCTACCGCTTCCCCACTCATCCCTCCCTGGGTCAGCTTGCTGCTCAGCCGCTGGCCCCACTCTGGCTGCCCCTGGTTGCCAGCGTCTGCCTGGTTTGCTCTGTTGCTGGGAGACCCTGGGCGTACAGCTGACCCACTTCCTCCCCTGATCTCTGCTGCTGGAGGAGCCGCTTCTGGGCAGCCCTTCTGACCACACTCCACTGAATCTCCCTCAGGCTCTGCTACTTGCATTTTCTCTGGCCTGGTGGCCTAACTGGTCACTGACCCTGGTCCTGGCATTTGTGTGAGCCCTGGGTCTTGGATATTCACAGGATCCTGAACTCAGGCTGAGTTGACTATAGATCACGCTACATCAGTCTAGGGCCCTAGAACCCTGCGTTTCCGCTCCTGCCTCTGCCACCCTTACCTGGCTCAGCTGACCTCTGGCACTGACAATCTGAGCTATGAATGGTTTTGGGGGATATAGGACACAATGGGGGGCATGGGGTATGGAGTGAGGGCGAAGTGCCTCAGAGATGAGGCCAATTACTGAGGAACTGTGGCCTCACAGGTAGGTGGGTGTGCAAAAATGCAGGAAACATGGGTGGTGGTAAGGGAGACATGCACAGCTGCTTACAATGGGTGGTGCCTGTTTTAAGATTTTGCTGGGTTATTTTAGAAAGGGTAACTGAGTTGTCTTTGGTAAACTTGATTTTGTAACTCTAAACCCTTTCACAAAGCTATTCTGTGTCTGAATCAAGTTTGCATTAAATGATGGAACCCTGCCTGCCATGTGCTCATAACTCCCTGCAGGTGTTGGGCCAGGCCCAGTGGGGAAGGCCCCCTATGCCAAGCAGCCCGGGCAGTAATGAAGAGGGCACAGGCAGGCCCTCTCCAGAGCCCATCCTTAGCGGGTGAGCAGGATCTTGGCCAGTCGTGAGGGCCTCCCAAGTCCCTCCTGTCCCTGCCCCCCTCCCCACCAGGAGGCGCAGCACCGGCAGCTACTCACTGGCGAGGATGACCATGTCCATGCCCCAGAAGATGCTCATGACCCAGCCCACCATGACGATGGCTGTGAGCACTTGGATGAGGGCTGCCGCGATGTTCAGCCAGAAGACGCAGCACACGTGCCTGTCTGGGAGGTCGGTGCGGGCCCCGCACAGCACGGTGAAGGCCGAGACGAATGTCCCTGTGAGAGGGCAGAGGGAACAGCCTTCTGAGGGTGCTGGGAGACAGAGGGCTCTGAGTGCTCACCGCTGGCCTGGGGCCCAGCTGTCTACCCTCCGAGAGCCCAGAGAGGAGCCCCTGGTGTCTGGCACCCTGTCCTCTGAGTGGCACCCCTGCCCAGACCCTTGCCACCTCTCACCTCCATAATGGAGAGGTCTGTGGGCCACTTGGAGGAGGTGTGGCATGGGGCTTCCAGGGGCCCCACACAGTCTTGGAACTTTTGGGAGAGACAAGGAAGACACATGACAAGCAGTCCCTTCTGGGAAGGAGCAACAAGGAAGCTACCTGTAATGACAACAGGCAGCTGTAAAGGGTGACTTTATGTGGCAAAGATTCCAAGAGCCAAAGAGTCCCAAGGTGGGAGTTGGTGTGTCTGAGTTAACACAGAAGCAACCTCAGAGGTAAATTCAGGAGAGGCGAAGGGCCAGGAAATGACCGCCCAACACACACGCTGCTGGCTAAGGGACAGGAGCCAAGAGCCTGGGTGCCTGCACAGTCACAGACCAGGACAGGTATTCTAGAGCCTCTCCCTGACAGGGTTCCCCCAGGCACCCCGACCTGTAAGGGGAGGGACCAGAAGTCTAAGCTCTATTGAGCATCCACAAGGTGCCAAGCAATGTGGGGGGTGCGGTCACATTCTTCACCTTGTCTAAGACACGGCCCCTAAGGGTAACATCACTACCTTTACCAAGTTAGGCCCCTGTCCTACATGGGCTCTGAGCCCTCCTGACAACAACCGTGCAGAGAATTAGCATTCTCCATATCTGTTGTAGTTTCTTATGGCTTTGGAACAAGTTACCCAAACCTTGTGGTTTAAAGCAACATAAATTTATTCTTTTTTAGTTCTGGAGGTGAGAAGAGTCTGCAATGGGTCCTCAGGGATGAGTCCTTCTGGACGCACCAGGAGAAAATCCACTTCCTTGTTTTTTCCAGCTTCTAGAGGCCACCTACATTCCTTGGCTCGTGGCCCCTTCCTCCATCATCACTGGCAGCAATGTAGCACCTTCTCCCTGACCTCTGCTTCTGTCTTTATATATTCTTACTGCCTCCCTTGGCAAGGACCCTTGTGATGGCATTCAGGACCTACCTGGGTGATCCAGGATGCTTTCCCCATCTCATTTAATTCAATCACATCTGCAAAGTTCATTTTACTACATCAAGTAGCATATTCGAAGGCTTGGGGATATGGATGTGGACATCTTTAGGGGCCACCGTTTGGCATACCATGCTCTTACACAGAAAGAGAAGACTCAGTGTGATGGTTAATTTTAGGTGTCAAGTTGGCTAGATTGAGGGGTTTCTAGGTGGCTGGTGGAGCACTGTTTCTGAGTGTATCTGTGAGACTGTTTCCAGAGGAGACGGGCGTGTGAGCCAGTGGACTGAGAGAGGAAGACTTGCCCTCAATGCGGGTGCGTGCCATCCAATCAGCTGGGGGCTAAGCTAGAATAAACAGGCAGTGGAAGGGGAATGTCCCCTCTGCCTCCTTTCCCCCTTGCAGAGCGAGACACTTTTTCTTCTCCTGACTTTAGACATCACACTGCAGGTTCTTCAGCTTTTGAACTCCGGAACTTGCACCAGCGGCCTCTTGGGGGCCTCTCGGGACTGACTGGGGCTGCACTGTTGGCTTCCCTGGTTCGGAGGTTTCAGACATGGACTGAGCCGGCTACCAGCTTCTCCGGCTCTGCGACTTGCAGTCAGCCTATCGTGGGACTTCTCCATCTCTGTGAACACATGAGCCAACTTCCCTCATAAATCCCCTTCCAGGGCTGGGTGCAGTGGCTCATGCCTGTAATCCCAGCACTTTGGGAGGCAGAGGCTGGCAGGTCACCTGAGGTTAATAGTTCGAGACCAGCCTGGCCAACATGGTGAAACCCAGTCTCTACTAAAAAATACAACAATTAGCAGGTTGTGGTGGTGGGCACCTGTAATCCTAGCTTCTTAGGAGGCTGAGGCGGGAGAATCACTTGAACCCAGGAGGTGGAGGTTGCAGTGAGCCAAGATCGCGCCATTGCACTCCAGCCTGGGCAACAAGAGTGAAACTCCATCTCAAAAAAAAAAAAAAAACCCTTTTATATATCCTACTTGTTCTGTCTCTCTGGATAACCCTGAATAATACTCCCAGGAACTAAGCATCTTGTCCAAGGTCACAATTACAGGCAGGCATTTGTGGGGAACGCTCCCATGTGAAGCCCCCCCAGTGTTGGGCCTCGCTGTGCGTGAGCTTGATCCCGGACACAGTTTCCTGCTGGAGGCAGTCAAGCTATGGGTAAGTAGGAACGGAAAGAATAAGAATAATGTCAGCCTCTATTTCTGACTACAGTGACCCTGGGTAATGGATGTGTGTGCTCTTTTGGTTCCTGTTGAGGAGTGGGTTTTATGACTCTGTTTACCAAGTTAAGTATAGCCTTTTGAGGACCAGATGACATTCCTATACTCAGATAAAGGTTTATGGCTTAGCCTGTGACATTTCTAGATTGTTATCCTTGTGACCACATGTTCTGTTAACAATGATAAAGTACATCACCTGCTTACCTTTTATGACCCGTGATTATGTACCACCTCTGCTGACATTTGCTTTTTGCAACTTTCTGTGCTTTTTGCAACTTTCTGTTCCCCTTATTGTATAGCTTACATAATGTGCACTGACGTCAATCCTTATAATCTAAAGGTATATATTGGAACCCTGGACACAAATAAACTTCCTGCATAGGCATTGCCTATTCAGTCCTCCAGACCCCAGCTTTCTGTCTCTCTTTACTTCTGCAAACCCCCTCTTTCAGGCTGGGACCCTCTCGCTGGCCGAGACTCCCCGGCGGGCTCCCTGTCGCCCACAGGCATTGAACCCAGAAGAGTCTGATGCCAACGCCATGCCCCTCTGAGCTGCCTCCCAGGTGTAGATGGTTTGTTTCTGAAGCAGGGCATTTGGGAAATTGGCCAAAAGACTGGTGACCATTCTCGCGTTCCTCATTCTCTCAGCTCCCGCTCTTTGAGGCTGCCTTGTTTTTTATTTTGCCTCCCCCTCTGACCCAAGTCCACGTGCTGATTTCTGAAACCTACCCTGTCTCGCTTTCCTCTCCTGATCGTAACCACTGCCACTGACGTGAGGTCCCAGGCGCCTCTCATTCTGGCCCTTCCCTGCCCAACTCACTGGCTCCTACAGTTTCCAGGTGTGGCCTTTGCTCTCGCTCACACCTTTGTGCTTCAGGTCCAAGGCTGAAGCCTGAATCCACGTGCCAATTTCTGAAACTGACCCTGCCTAGTTTTCCTCCTCCTCTTCGTAACCACTGCCACAGATATGAGGCCCCAGGCGCATTTCATTCACCTTCATCCCTCCAGCCCCTCGCACAGAGCCTTGTACACAGTAGGTGGCCTGTGGCATTCAAAGAAGTACACCCAACACCAAGTGTCTCTTCCGACCACCTGCCTCATCACCTGTGGCATTTGTTAAAAATGCAAGTGCCCAGGTCTCACCTGATCTACCGAATGTCTAAGAGGAGACCCCACATCTGCATTTCTTAACAAGCTTCCCCTGCTGCCCTCCAAGGAATGATAATGCTCACGAAAGTGTGAAAACCAGGGATTTGAATCAGGCAACTCGATAACTACCCCTCTGTGTTCCCGCCACAGCCCCAGAGGCCCTGTGGGAGACCCGAGAGGCAACACTGCTCTACTCTCGCCAGGGGGGCAGCCAGCCAGGGGCACAGAGTGTGGGCTGGAGCCTCCTTTCTGGGGGATGAGGCTGGGGTGCACTCTGGCGTCTCTGTAGGGACTCATTCAGGAACCTAACTGGACCCCTGCCCTCAAGAGCTCACAGTGTACTGGACAAACTCATCACCCCACCTGACAGAGGAGAAGGAGGCTGAGGGCTGGCCACGTTTGTAGGAGTAAAAGTGATGGGGCTGGGACTGCACCTCCAGACTCTTCCTGCTGGAAGGAGAATGGAGAGGATGGTGCAGGGGGCAGGGTGGTGACAAGGGGAAGGTGATGAGGATGAAGAGGGAGGACTGACTTGGGCCATTAGTAGAAGGCTTTGAATGCCTGGGTATGAGTTTGTCCACCACCTGCAGGAAAGGGAGCTCTCACAAAGAGTGTTGAGCAGGAGAACAATGGAATGGAAGCAGGGATTTAAGAAAATTAATTTGTTGGCAGAGTGGTTTTTTTTTTTTTTTCTTTCTTTTTTTTTGAGACGGAGTCTTGCTCTGTCCCCCAGGCTGGAGTGCAGTGGCGCAATCTCAGCTCATTGCAAACTTCACCTCCCGGGTTCAAGCGATTCTCCTGCTTCAGCCTCCCAAGTAGCTGGGATTACAGGAATGCGCCAACAGGCCTGGCTAATTTTTGTATTTTTAGTAGAGACGGGGTTTCTCCATGTTGGCCAGGTTGGTCTTGAACTCCTGACCTCAATTGATCCACCTGCCTCGGTCTCCCAAAGTGCTGGGATTACAGGCGTGAGCCACTGTGTCTGGCTGGCAGGTGGATTTAAGATGTCTGAGATGGGAAAGATGAACTGGGAGAAGAAGGCAGCAACTGAGAAATGGGGGGATACGGGCTCAGGGCTTGGTAGTGGACACAGGAGGACGCAGGGGACTCAGGGACTATTAGGAGGTGTGTGCCACCATCCTTTGCTTCTGCCAGTGCATCACACAGCGGAACCCAGACTTAAAGCCAATCTGTCTAGTGTAGAATACTGAGTTCTTTTCAGTCTAGGGTGGTACATCCTTGCATTAAAACATAAGGAAAGAGGCTGGGCGTGACAGCTCATGCCTGTAATCCCAACACTCCCGGAGGCTGAGGCTGGTGGATCACCTGAGGTTAGAAGTTCGAGACCAGCCTGGACAACATAATGAAACTCTATCTCCACCAAAAATACAAAAATTAGCTGGTCATGGTGGCACATGCCTATAGTCCCAGCTACTCAGGAGGCTGAGGCAGAAGAATCACTTGAACCTGGGAGACAGAGGTTGT